ATACTCCTGAATTAAGCTGGTTTGGAAGCCTTGTTGTTGAAACTGAAAACTATAGTGGAAACGGTGGTCACGTGTAACATGTGATCCCAAAAGGAGGAGTTCTAATTTGCATCCGCTTCAGAAGAGATAACGGATCTGAAGTTCCTAAGAATAAAAGTGAGTCAAGTCAGTGAAGCCTGAAACCAATGAGGGTAAAGTTCTGTTGTCACAAAGGTGGTTCCCACCCGCAGGAGAGCAACCGCGGCAGCCAGACTCAGAAAACTGTGCCGGCGAAAGTCAGACAAAATGTCTAACCAGCTTGCCTCATGTGAAGTCCAGCATGCATCAGCGCTGCAATGTCAAAATGCACCTAATACAATCTGAGGGGGTCGTCCTGTGGAGAGAAGGAATGGGAAAAGCAAACTTGACAATCTGTAAAATAGATTTAGATTTTTATTCTGTATGTAAAAATAATCTTTTGGTCAGGGGGGTCAATAAAAACATGAAGAATCATCAGTTATTAGGTATCGTCCAATGAGCATCATGAGCTACCTCAGAATGGGGACGGTGACACTACAGCAGATCAGTATCATGCTGGTCTGAGTCGGATTTTTGTGGTCCTGGCCCCTGGAGTGCTTACCCCCATCCAACACCTTCAGGATGAACTGGAACACCAACTGTGATCCAGACCTGATCACCAGTGTTGGTGGAGTTGCTAGACTCTGAGAGCGAATCGCTGCAGCTGGTTCGACATCTGGAGAGACCAGAAGAGTGGCGCCTGTTAGAGCAGACGTTTGTCCATGTTGTGTATCTAGATGTTGTTGTCATGGGTTAGTTAATAGGCTCGTGTCTCCAGAGTGACCGACAGGACAGATTTAATGTAACTGACTTTTACTGTTGTTCCTCTGACAGGAGCTGGAGAGCAGAGCGGGAGCTTGACGAGCCAATCAGAGAGCTGGAAGACAACCTCAGCCCAATCAATTAAAGGCAGAGTCAGGTCATCATCTGGAGAAATGATAAAACAATCCTGCAACATTAATGTCTCCTGAAAGCTTTTCCAGGACGTGTGAAGTGAAAATAGCAGCAGTGTTTTCTCAGGATCACGTCTTATATGCGTGTGTCTACAATTTAAATTCAGTTTGAAATATATTTCCTGAAATGACTCCAAATCTCAGCCTTAAATGTTGTTATTCTCCACACGGCTCCTGCAGTGGTTGAGTTTAGTCAAATAAATTACTAAGTTGGGTTTAAGAGAAAAAGTCACTTTGGTTAAACCTTTAAAAAGGTCACAGATGTTAAAGGATTTTTTTGCACATAACGAATACGTTAAATTAAATATCCTCTTTTATCTGTGATGTCTTGTGCAGAGAGGTTTGCCCTGCTGCGTGTTATATTTTTATTTGGAGGCAGTTATATTTATTTTGTTTTTTTTAATTTATTCACTGCAGTGCGTTATTTTTATTTGTAATGATGATCTTACTGGAGATTTGTTTTCTTATTCTGGGAATGGAAATTGGAATTCTGCTTTATTTTAGGACAGTTTCTCCTCATTAGTGTCAAAACTGGGTGGTGCTGTTGCTCAGAAATGTAAACCTACAAACTGATAAAGATGACTTAAAGAATAAAGCTCCACTTTCACACATATTAACAGCTGTTTGTCAATAAATCTTCAAAGACTCATATTTGCTGCTGCTGATGAACACGGGCTCATTGTGACCTCTAGTGGTGGCGACTAGGAACTGCAAGCACAAGTGCACCAGATCCACAAGGGTCCTGCAGCGTGTAAAACCCAGATAGTGGAATCAACTAATCTTTTGTCATTATCTTACATATATTTCAGTATTTTTAAACCTGGACTGGTGTGGAAATGACAAGTAGGTATAAAAAGTTTGGGATCCGTGCAGTAGATGCTTCAGCCGGCAGCTGAACTGTCTTCAGGGGTTGCAACCAAGGGCGTCACTTTGTGTCGAAAAGTGTTTCATAGTCAAGAAACTACTATTTCATTTAGAATCTATATTCACAGAATATTTAACAGGAAGCCTGCGTTACAAACTGGAGGTGCGGAGTTTGAAAGATGCTATTCACCAGGCCATTAAGTTGCATTATGGGAAATGTTGGAACCAAATCAGAATAGAACAAATCAACAAATATCTTACATTTATTCTTTTAGCTGATGCTTTTATCCAAAGCGACTTACAGCTGCTATACATGTCAGAGGTCGCACGCCTCTGCAGCAACGAGGGGTTAAGTGTCTTCCTCAGGGACACATTGCTGGACGGGTCACAATCAAACCCAGGTCTCTGACACCAAAGGCACTTGTCTTATCTACTGCGCCATCGCCACCCTGCGTCATTCAGACATAAATAAAATGAATCAGATAAAGTCAATAGTTTTATTTAGCGACTCAAGTCTCCCTGTTCAGCTCAGCTGCTTATTAATGTAAGAAGAGCCGGTTAATAACAAAGCAGGACTGTTCTATGCTTCTGACTGGCTGTTTTGATCATTTAGGGATATTTTGGCTCAATGTCTTTAAATTAAGGAGCAGATTGAGGGCCTATTGTGAATAATTTGCACATAACCTGATTTAATAATAGTAGCCTACATCTTTTTTGGTTTATTTAAACATTGTCTCATCACTGTAGGAATACAAATGTTACAGTAATCTAGTTTTTAACATCCTTTATTGTTAATGCAATGTTTATGATTCACCTCCCCTCCGATCTTTCTCCCCTTCTTCCTCCTCATCCTCTCAGAGTTTCCTGTAAGTGCCATGAGCAGCCACGAGGAGGAGCTGCAACACAACTCAGTGACTCCAGTGATTTAAACAGCCTGACTCACCGACATGACAACCATTTCACCACCAATCAGCTCCACATGAGAACACTCTCACTCCAGCCAGCGGCCGCCTGTGTGCAAATTACCCCAATGCAAAAATGCATGCATGTATTTTATTGAATAATTCCACGCCCGGCCTGATTTAAGCAGCAGCACGAACAGTTCTTGGTTTCTTCTCTCCTGCAAAACAGATTCCCCTGAACTGAAGTTCAGGAAACATCTGCAGAGCCAGCAACTTCTGAGTGTGTGTTGTAGTCAGTTAAAATACCTGTGAGATAAGTCGCTGCCCCTAAACGAGTAACCTCAGGTAATTGGCTGCTGCTAACGAGGCTGCTGTGATAAGTGGTTAAGGAAAACAGTGCTGCTGTGTGCTGGACTGCCAAGAGCTCGCCATATGCCGGCTGATGTAATTGGCAATTACAGGACAAAAACGGCGCGGAGCTCCGAGTGTTTGAATATTCAGGAGCTGCTGGTCGTCTCCAGAAAGTGGACTGGGATCCTGCTGCTGGATGCTGTCTCTGCAGACTCTCCACACAAACATAGTGATGGTCTTGCTCTCTGGTCCTTGTTCAGTCCACTTAAAATCTAGCAAATCATTTTAAGCTTCAACAGGTTGTCGATCAGTAAAGACTCATAATTGTTCTCCTTGTTTGAGAATTAATAAGTCAATAATTCAAAATCAGATAACTACCTTTAAAAAAAGATCCTGTTTTCTAACAGTACAACACAGCTTGGTCTGTCCTCACTGTTTAGAGCTGAAGATAAATCTTTAATGAAAACTGGAGTTAGACTCTGAACTCGGGGTGTTACTGCCGTCTTTAGCCATCGGGCCCCAGAGGGCCACAGAGGGCCTCTCTGTCTGTTGGATTAATGTTTGCAATCTTCTCTCTGACTGCAGAAGGCAGTGAGGAGGAAAAGAGACGGAGGCTGAGAGCAGCTGGTGGACACGGTGGAGCATTTAGCAGCTAAAGAGCCAGATATTTCCCTCAGGAGCTGGCGGAGACATTTGCATGAACATGTTTTAAGTCCTGACGTCAAGTCTTCTGAACGGACTTTTGCCTGAATTGGTCGTCCTTGACTAAATTTGGGAGCAGGTTGACTTTGCAGATCAGTTCCCTCTTGGCTGCTGTGAAGAAAACGGTACTGAGGTTTTAATGTTGTTGAGCGGGATTTTAAATGTAGTCTTCACTGAGCCTGTGCTGTGATGCAAGAGACAAATCAGAGGGACAGTTAACACCTGCAATCTGTCATTCATCTGTGTTTCTGAAAACCCTGTTCCTGGAGTTTCCAAATTCAAATCAGCTCCACTACAGCACATGAAACCTTTTAGATTTGAGACAAACAACTTTAAAACTGCACAACAGCTTCCATGAAAGTGAACGCATGTGAGTACTAACGTCGTCATAGCTTGATAAAACTCCCTATGCTCTCCTCTGCAGTTTCCCCTTCTTCTGCTGTTTCACCTGTGATGGGCTGATGGGAAATGGGGTTCGTTAAAAAACTCCGACATCAGATCGTTCTACCTTCTTTAATAATTAGCAGGGTTACAAATCAAAGAGATTTTTAATGAGGTTCATATGTCAGAGCTGAGTGTCCGTCAGCTTGTTGTGGCCTTTTTCTGCCCGTTTAGATAACTAAATACATCAAACGCACGACACCGCACACACATCAGTTTAAAAAATGACCTCCTCAAACATTTTTCACCCCTGAAAACATCAAACTGCACACCGAGCGGCCTCCGCAGTGGCTGCCCTTTCTTTATGCTTGCAGAACTTTATTGCCATTTTTACAAATAGGGCAATTACCAACATGCCCTGGGCCTCTGGGCTGTTTTTATTGGAGCACTTGCCTTGTATGGCACTAGAGTGAGAGCTGGGGGAGAGAGAGAGAGGGGGGGGGGGGGGGGGGGAAGAAAAATTAGATCAATGGGTGGGAGTTTTAATTTGGCAAGGATCTATGAGGCTGCATGTGGGGACTGAACCTTACGTAGAGTTTTGCTGTCGGGGTAAAGAAGGGGGAGAGAGAGAGAGAGAGAGAGAGAGAGAGAGAGAGAGAGAGAGAGAGGTACAGTAGCATGTAAATGTAAGATGGGGTGAGGAGAGGAAAGAAAGGGGGAGTCTCTTCTGTTTGAGAGGAGGAACCGCCTCCATTTTCCCTGCAGACACACACACACACACGCACACACACACACACACACACACGCGCACACACACACACACACACACACAGTCGATAGGAAAGGGAAGGAAAAAGCCGACTGAAGGACGGAAGGAAGAGGACTGAACTAACACGCCTGAGCTCGACACACACTCTCTCTCTCTCTCTCTCTCTCTCTCTCTCTCTCTCTGTCACACACTCTCTCTCTCTCTCTCTCTCTCTCTCTCTCTCTCTCTCTCTGTCACACACACACTTTGTTTCAGCCGGGCAGTGCGGAGCGTGAGACGGAGAGAGGCAGCAGCAGCAGCAGCAGCAGTGTAAGGAGAAACCAGAGCCGCTGGGACACCAGACGTCTGCTGGAGCCGCCGGGCTGCCTGGCAGTCCTGAGTCAGGGTTTACAGCTCAGCCTGAGAGCCGGATCGTCTCCTGGAGGAAAAGTCTCACAGTTAATCTCCCACAGCATCTCCACGGACTGAGACCTGCTCCTACAGCTGCTGTCAACGCCGCGTATCAGACTTTTGGAGTTTTTGATCAAACCAGGCAGAAACGGGGCCGCAGACAGCAGGTTAGTTTAGTTATCTGGACTTTGCAGACCATCTTCAGTTGAATTAAGCAGGTTTCATAGAGTTACATGTCAGAGTTAATCCTGGATCTGGAGACAACCAAGGGACCCACAAAATGTAGGAGGGAGAAGTTTAGTGATCAAACTTAGGAAGGATTACAGCTGAAATTCAGAGTTAATCCTGGTTCTGGAGTTTTGATCAAACCAGACAAGTGAAAGGACCCACAAGCATCAGCAAACAATCTGGGCATTTTAAACAACCTGCTAACAAGCTTTTGACTTATTTCAGTGGGAGTTAGACCTGGCTGTGGAGTTAATTTATCTGGACACAAACAATTCTTCAGTTCATTTCAGGAGCTGTTTAGATTCAAGTCCTGGTTTTGGTCATCAAAACAACCTGCTAAATAATCTTTTGCAATTGTTATTTCCTGAGCTGTTAAATGTTTGAGTTAATCCTGAATCTCTTCAAAACAAAAACCCGACTAAGGAAAACCTGCGGATCTCGTGGACTTTCTTCAGCCTACCTTTGTTTGAATGGTGAGCAGTGGGTTTTCTGCATTTAAAACTACTTCAGATGCAAATCAAGCAGCTTGCAAATGTAACCAGACCCGTAAAGAACCGTAAGGTCTCAGGATTACAAAATGAGTGAGAAAAGATTTTTAAATAAATTAACATTTGACATTTAACATCTTGCTGCTTCAGGAGCAGGACTTGTGCTGTAGCTGACTGGATTATAAAACTTCGTCTTCTGCTTTTTTAAGTTTAGGTGAGAATATTAGTTTAACCATTTGGACCTCGGCCTCTCCAGCATCTTATGAGACTTCGGCTACGAACGCTGTCTGCCGAAGCCCCTTCTGAGACTGCGAGGAGTTAACTGTATCTGTTAGAGTCCTGCGTCGCTCGCCGGACTCTCACAGCCCCTCTTTATATGTCAGAGATGCACGTCGGCTCAAACAGCCGCTGCTGCAGCTCAAGGACTTCGACTGTCTGCTGCAAGTCTGCGAGAAGAACAAAGAGGACAGGTGAAGGTAACGGCAGGACTCGGTGAGCGAAACAAACTGCCTGGTTTCCTCAGTGGGAGCAGATCTGGATGGTTATTTGGAGACTTGGCAGTTTGGCACCTGTTGCATCTGAGCGATCCGCCGGCAGCCAGTGTTTGCTTTGACTCTGATCCTGGTGGTTTTCTGCAGAAGAAGAGGAATCATTTGAGAGTTTAGAAACATTCGCAGTTTTAGGTTTAGATTTTAGGATGTGAGGGACACACTGCACTCGACTGTCTTCAGCTTAAACCAGCTGACTTGCAGAGTTAGTTACATATTTGGACACATGTTGGATACCAGCCCCGTGTCTCTGTATAAGATCATTTGCAGTAACAGTAAATATAAAGAGAAAGAAAAGGTCACGCTGACTAGGTTATGTTTTGGATGTACAAATCTGAACGCATTCATGACTGCATGAGTTATTAAACTGTTTCATGGCTGTGTCAGAGATCCTGGTCTGCTTTAATACAGAAAGTCTGCAGTGCTTTTGGTGTCCAAGCCGAACAGCAGAAGGACTCGGGATGCTAACCCTGCTAACTCTGGTGTCACAGTCCTGCAGCACAGACCTCCGCCTTTAAACGGAGACTTTACTCAAAAACAGTTTAGTAATATATAAAAGAGTGATTTCTAGAAGCAGGGCTGCACATGCTGCATGGATCAAACCTATGAGGTCATAGAAATAGTAGCTATAGTGTGGTTTTGTCTCCTGGGGGAGCGTTCGAGAACAGCTGCAGCAGCTGTCGCCTCTCCGCTACCCGCGTTCCCATCAACAAGAAACAAACTGGTATTTTAAGAAGCAGGCAATGACAGATCTCCTTTCTTTCTTCCCTTTAGGATTTGAAGAGCTCGATGTCCTAAATTTGGATCTCTGCATGAAAGGCGACGAGGTCTTCTGACGTTTGGCAGGTCTCCTTGTCTCCGGTGTGGAGTTTTTTTCATGGTTCGGATGCTTCATTGTGAGGAGCCACAACCACATCGGGACATGGCTATAATGGGCTAAATAACTGGACAGCAGGGCGTTTTAGATGTGTCAGCGAAAGTCTTCACAGCGGGATAGAAAGCACATCTCTGTGCTGGCCTGATAGAGACTTCCAGAGCTGCTTGTGTGAGAAGTTGGGTGTTTTTTCTTCAGACATTCAGAACAGATAAAAGCAGAAGAGTGGCCCACTGTTAAAAAAAGAAACCCTCGACTGACCCTGCAAATGGAAGAGATAATTAGCTTTTTCAACACGAACATCAGAGGAGAAATCAGACAGCTTTCAGAACTCATCTGAACCCTTCATGGACTTTGGGAAAAGAGAGTTTTATTAGTTTGTTTGCCTTTAACACCACAAAACCAAAGTCTGCAGACAAGCTGTCCGAGAGAGAACAGTAAGAGTTGATTGACTATCAGTTTCCCACAGTTTTGGAGGGGAATAATAATTTAAAAGTAAAGTTTTTCAGAGTTTGAAAAGTTCATGGAAGGCAAACTTTGTTCAGCGCAGTTTGTCTGAATGTTAAAGGCTGATATTCTTTGATGTTGAATCATTAATAAGAAAGTTTTTGATTCATTTTTTATAGCAAAAGGCTGAAAAGTTCAATGACAGCAGTTCATTCTTTTTCTCTCCCGTCACAGATCTCTCTGTCAAACATCAAGCATGTCTTTTTCCAGTGTTCAGGACAGATCAGAGCAGCGAAAACGTCTTCTGACACCAACAAAGTGTTTTTCTTCTTTCTGACATCACGGACGCTTTCCTGCATCTGTTTTTCTTTCTCATGAGGAACTCTTCTCCAATATCACGGACGCTTTCCTGCATCACAGCGTTCTGGATATTTTGGATTTCTCCCTCTTTCTTTTTGCAACACGAAGAGGTTCTTTTGTTGGATGTTTTGAAGTTTGTTGTCGTTTGAGCTGGACGTGGTGACGACCGCAGAGACTTCAGACGCCACGAGGAAGTGACGTGAGGACAACATCGCGGGGAGGTCTGCTGCGAGTGTGTACAAGTGTGTGTGCACGCTGTACAGAGCGTGTTTATGTGCACGAGAGAGAGAGTGTGTGTGGGAGTCCAACAGAAAGAGGGTGTAAAGTTGCGTGTTTGCATGTGTGTGCAGCTGGTTGTGCATTTGAGTGTGTGTGTGTGGACACATCACACTGCGACGGCGACGCAGCTACTTCTGAGTTATTTCCTGTTGCTCAACGCTTGATGAATTGTTGAAAGGACAAAATCTCAACATGAACAAACAAAATTTCCAGATATTTCCCACGGAGATGCTGCCGAGCCGAGCCGGAGGCCGGGCCAGTCCAGTCTGTCTGGAACATGTTGCCCTGATTGGATGATTACAGACGGCTCTCTTCTTCTGCTGCTTCTGTTTTTCTGAGATTTACCCTGAACTATTTGGCCTTTGCTGTTCGAGGACACAGTTTTCATTGAGACCAGTGAGTCTGGGAGAAACTGAGAGAAAGGCCTCGATGGTGATGGATGTTTTACATTACTGAACACATATTTTTGGATTACAGCAGTTATTTCTACCTTACCTGATTGCAGAGCATCATGGGAGATGTGAAGGCACCACCGCCCGATGTTTGGTTCCTAACTGTCGCAAGACACGCTGACAGTGTAATTCATTTCTTTAACACAAAAAGACTCTTCTGTATTTGATCAAACATGAGACTTGACATTCGTGTAACAATAAGAACGTTTTTGACTCGAGCTCATGAGTATTTATCCTCCTTTCTGTCCAACTTGCAAGTTTTTTAGGGGATTATTTAACTTTGTCGAACTAAAAATAACTTTTCTCGAGGCTATAAAATTTAGCATTTTATTGGCAGACCAAATGTTTCAGAAGCTGGAGCTCCGCAGCATCTTTTTTTAGTGAGACCACTGCAGCAGTTCAGAAGAGCTCGGGCACTTTTTGGCAGAGGAGGCTTTCGTGCAGACGCCGACCACCACCATGCTCCCTGGAGGACTGGTGTCGGGTGGAGGGGGTCGGGGCGGCGGGCTGTGTCTGCTCCGGTGGCTGGGCCTCAGGCTGTGGTCCCGCCGGGGGACCCTGGTGTTCGCTCTGCTCTGGTTCGGCTCCTGGTTGTTTCTTAACGGGCTGGTTCTGGTCCACAGGAGCATCCTGTCCGACTACTGCACCGACGACAAGAGTAAGAGGATCCTGCAGAGGCTGGTGAGTCAGCTGTGGTTGTGCGCTGTAAAGATCATCAGTTTACAAGCTGTTTAACAGCGTTACAGACAGAGGTGGTTGTGTGCTGCTCTTCAACAGAGTCTTTTCTCTTGCAAAGCTGGAAAATTCAGTTTGAAAACCCTTCCTGCAAAGCAGAAATCTCACCTTTGTGTCCCTCGTCCAACTGAGTTTTGTGGTGGAGGGTGGACGTTTTTCTCTCTCACAAGAGAAAAGATTTAGACGAGAAAGTAACTAACCTAACTTGGTTTGGCAAATGTACGTCTGATTATTCACGCTTTTCTATGTTAGCCAACTTACAGTCGTTATCAGCCGATGGACTTTGCTCACTTGTCGTCACGTGACCGTAGTGAGAAAAAGGGATGTCACGATACCAGAAATTTAGCAGTCGATACCAATACCGGTGAAATTCCACGATTCTCGATACCAAATTCGATACCGCATTAAAAAACATTACGACAGATGACACAGACTGAATGGTAAGGACAGCAGCTTACTGTTTACATTACGTTAGCCTAAACGTGGTAGCCTTTAGCGTTTAGACTGTATATAAGAAGTGGACGTAGCCATCGTGACGTCACCCGTTGGTTTGTGGACTGCCGTTTTGAAGTCTTGAGTTTGGCCGATGGCCCGGAAGTGACGATACGGCGGAGCTAACGGCCGTGTGTGGAGCTAGCTAGCTTGCTTAGCTAGTTGCATCTGTAATTCACGTTAACTGTCATTTTAACAGGGCTGATAACTTTTTCTGGTAGAACAACAGTTCTTAAAACTAAATGTTCTCACCAGAGAAAGTGAACAGCCGACTCCTAATAAGCTTTTTCAACGGCACTGGTTAAATTTACACAGCGCGAGTCACTCTAACCTGATTGACAGGTCGCCATGGTAACAAATTGTCAATCATAGATAATCCCGCCCTAAAGCCTCCCCTGCTTCCTGGTCTCTGTTCCTCTAAATGGGACCATAATTTACTAAATGAACTGAAGACTTGAAACTAGCGACTGAGACCATAAACTCATCAGGAAAGTGTTTACTGAGGGAATAAATCAGCTGGGAAGTAGAAACATTTTACCATTATTTCTAATGGAGCCAGACTTCTTTTTGCAACCAGAAGAGTCGCCCCCCGCTGGCCGTTCGATAGAATGCAGGTTTAAGGGACTTGCGCGTTCGCATCAGATCGCTGACCGGAAGCTTCCCGCTTGGTTTAGCGCCGTACACAGCAGTGGCAGCTGTCTCAAACTAAAATAATGGAAAGCACTTTCATACACGACTCTTGCTGTTGTTGTTTTTTCGCCCTCTGCGTCTTGGATCCCCGTTACTTACAGTACCTTTGGTGTCAACTTGGTACCGAAGTGCTGGTTCTAGTGACATCCCTAGTAAGAAAAAACATGTAAGAGGACCTTGGGTTAAGTTTAATTTGTCAGATTTTTATTATAGGTTGACTAATTAATTAACTGACTGATTGAGAGGATTGATCCACATCTGACCTGTCTGAAAGTTGTCATTTGACTTGATCTGTGTTTGGCTTAATTCAGTAAAATGTAGAACAGACTCTTTTCTACTGATGGTTTTGAGTCTTTGTATCCACAGCTGCATACCTGCTGTAGGTGACTGAGTTGTGTGTGAGTGAAAGTTTGACATTACCTTCACTCTTCTTGCACCATCTTGTTGTTGGCGCTGGATTACTGGAGGAGCTACTCTCTCGCTCTCTTTTCTTCTAGAAGTTGAAAGACTTTCTGTGTTCCCCTCGACCGCCCACCTTCTTGACAAAAACACAACCTCAGTGTGTGATCAGCATCTGCACGGTAACTTTTTTGGATGGAACTTTTCTCACATGTTTGGCAAGAAAAGTTAAATAATATTGACAAGCAGTTCAAAATAACTCCCATGTGTTTGCTGGTTGTTTGTTATTAAAGAACCTTCCAGCCTTTTTTTCCAAAAATCTTCCATTCAGTTTTGGATGGATTTTCTTTTCCGTGCTGTAGATAGTATATCCAAGTGACTAAAGACTTTACTCTGCAGCATATCAAGTCTCCACACGCTGATTTTTAGAGACATTTAATAACACCGGGCGCTGCCTGAAGGAAGGAAATCCATCTCCAAACTGATGATGATTTGGAAAATTGTCTGCAGGATTGTGAAATAACTGCAGTCAGCCTCCCCACTGTCCCGTAACGCCGCTCATCTGTCTCCAGCTTCAGAATATTTATGGTCTGGAGGACAAACTGCAGCTCATCGACTGTTTCTGTGAATCCCGCCGCCGTTCATCAGACGGTTATAGAAAACAGGCGGGTGGAGATAAACGGCCAGAGGTCAATAGATTTTAATGGCCTGCCGTCTTATCTGCTGCAGCATCTCCTGGTGCACTGTGGGTAAACGCTGATAACAAGACACTCTTTCTCTTAGTCCTCGGAGGCTCCGCTCAGTCGCTGTCTGCACTTAAAAACTCTCCTTTGGGTTTATCTTTTCTCTATTTCAAGTTCATCTCTCTTTTCATTCCTCCCTTTCTCCATTTTCTCCTCTTTTCAACCGCCATTGTGTTTCTGTCATCTTGAATTTCTTTTTTTATTCCCTTCCCTATTATTCTTTTCGGCCTCTCCTTCTCTGACGTCCGTCCTTTATTTCTTTGTGCCTCTATCCTTTCCAGCGTTTCTCTCTCCCTCCTTTCTCTTATCATCTAACTTTCTTTTCATTGTTTTGTTTCTTTGCCTTTCTTCTCTACCTTGATTTGTTTCCTTTTATCACACATGGGACCAGATTTACTAACATCCTGAATAAAGAGGACTAAGTTGTGTGTTCATTCTACAATACTGCACGTGTAATTTTAGTACCTGTTATGGGTGATTTACTAAGAAGTATTGTGTATATAATAACAGGAGCAAACACAATGAAGGTGGCAGTATTTAAATGAGGGTTTTGCGTGTTTTAATGGTTTCCGCCATGGAGAGTCGGGAGGGAACGCAGCCGCTGCGTAAAATCCTTGGTTTGTTTCGTTCAATGCGTCCCGAGAATGTGGAAATCGTCTGTAGCTGCCCGTCTTGCCTGAGAGTGCACTAAGTACTTGGGACAGCACAACTGGAAAAACAGTTTTGGGAAACCCCAGCAGAAACAGCTACAGTAGCTGGAATGAACCAGACGCGAGGAAATGCCAGCAGATCGTGCTTCATCCAGCCAGAGGGAACGATCGCCGACCGTCCGCATTTGCATGCAACAACAGCTGCTGTCTTGCACTTTTGAAAGACGTCCCTCTGCGTGTAGTAGATCAGCTTACGTGTTAATTTGCTGGTGATATCACGTTTGCACAGGTTTTTACTCACGCAGACCTTTAGTGAATCTGGGCCTTAATCTCTCACAGCGGTCAGTGAAGGATGATTAAGTGAATGATCAAAGACAACAGCATCAGTTGTTTAAAATTTTCTCTTGCAGCCGTGAGAATTATGGCTGTCTGTCAGGAGCAAACCAGAAAGTAGCGTGTTGTTTCTATCGAGCCACAAAACGTCTTGAAGGACGCTGATCGCTACCCAACAGTCAGCAATGACCAAAATCTTTCCCCAGTAGTTTTTGTGTCTGAACTTAAACCGGACAGACTCGACAGTTAAAGACGGCACTAACGATTCATGTTGTCCTATCGATCAGGAAAGGGGTTGCTTTGAAAGGTGGTGACAACGTATTTGGTTTAGTTTAGAGGTCCTGTTGAATTTGGTGTGACGAGAGAAGCAGCAGCTTTGAGCCGTCTGCCTAAAGAAGGCTTTGCTCAAGTTTAAACAATACAGACGGCCTCTGTGATGTAAATCACAGGTCTACAGAATATTAGTCCTCTGCAGCTTTATCATCACGCTCCCACGACGCTGTCAGACTCAGGACGGATTCAAATCAATGAAGCAGGACTCAGAGATAACAGGTCTTTTCATTCCACATTCTTCTTCCTTGTCAAAACCTGAAGCCTACATGACCCACAATGCAACTTCATCATCAACAGTTCATCTGGAGATTTGGGTGCGTCAGCCCTTTCTCGTTCCCAGGGCGTCCAACAGCTTTATCATGTCACTGGTGTCTGGCACCAACGCACATGGCAGCATTCAGCGTCACAGTTTAAGGAGGTGGTAAGGGTGGAGAGGTGGGTCAGAAACCTTCACTCAGGAGACTGGTGTTCATTTCCCCGCTGAAAACAAAAATTAATGGGGATTGTTTTAGTGATGTTGCTGAGGATCCCCATAGTGTCATAGTTCAACGGGCAATAGGCGGCCTGCGGGCCAAAATTGGCCCGCCAGCAGTAACATCTGGCCTCTGGCCACATTACTTTAATAGCAGCCAAAAAACAGACATTATTACAGCTGGTGCTGAAAGAGATCTCAGTCATGACAGTAAAAGTTACTCACATAATCACTTCCTCTTAAGTGACTGTGCAAAATGAAAGCGGGAGAACGTCTTTGCAGCAGTACTTTCGTGTTTAAGCGAGCTTTTACATTGAAGTTTAATTTAGAAAAGTTTTAGAAAAGCAGGAATTTCCTCTGCCTGGAGATACTGGGAAAATGAAAGTAAGCGTCCATAGGTTCATGTTGACCAATCGCGGTGGGGAACACACTCCTGCACATGCTTAATTGTGAACGTGTAAAACGAACTCTTGATAGTGAATTTGTTGAAAAGTAACGATAGCAGCAAGTGGGGATTGAACACAATCCCAAACCCTTTGAACAGGTGTCCTGAACATTACCGACTGAACTAAACAGACACACAGCAAATAACAAATCATAAATGTTCTGGCCCGCCATGATATTTAACAGAAAAGACCGAAACAAAAAGTCGACTTTAAATATTATTAAAGTTACGTAGGATACGTAAATTAGCGTAACAACTTTAACAACATTTTATTTTATTTGTCTACCCAGACGTTGCATATTTATTGTTGCTAACTATTGCTAACTTTACCTCGGAGCCCTAATTATCAAAAAACAACACTAAAGTCTACCCAGACGTTGCATATTTAT